ACGAAGAAAGGTAGAAGGCGAGAATACTAATTAACAAAACAAACAAACAAAAAAAGCACCACTCAACGAATAGTATATTAACAAAACATGTGATACACAGACCAAAGATCTGAAACAGAATACCAAAAATTAAGCAGGAAAAAATGGTAATAAAAATGCTAATGAAAACTAAGAAAAACAAAACAAACAAAATAGAAACAAAATAAAGAGGAAATATTAGTATAGAAACAGGAGAGACCAAAACATAAATTAATTAAACCTAAGAACATATGCGTGAGATTAATTGAATGATTAAGATGTTAAAAAACTAAGTAAGTAAATTGATTTAGAAAGATAATGATTGATATGAAATTATGAAGTTATATAAACAACTAATTAAATGAAAGCAAACGAATTTAAAGAAAATTTGTATATACATGTTAAACTTTATTATAAAAAGATATATAATGATAAAGTGTTGTCATAGATTGAAATAACAACAAAAAAGAGAAGAAGAGAGAGAGAGAGAGAGAGAGAGAGAGAGAGAGAGAGAGAGAGAGAGAGAGAGAGAGAGAGAGAGAGAGAGAGAGAGAGAGAGAGAGAGAGAGAGAGGGAGAGAGAGAGGGAGAGAGAAAGAGGGAGAGACTGAAAGAGGGAGAGACTGAAAGAGGGAGAGACCTGAAAGAGACGAAGAAAGAGAGAGAGTGAGAGAAAGAGAAAGAGAGAGAGCAAAAGAGAAATAGAGAGAGAAAGAGAGAAAAAGAAATAAAAGAGAAAGAGAAACAAGAATAAAAAATTTGTAAACGTAAACCCTGGCTAACCACCTCGAAACCAGCTGGCTGGTGTCCATCTTGGTAGAGTGAAGATCCAGCTGGTGTCGCCGAAGAGACCAGACGGCGCCGATGGGGGGGGGAGGGCGGAGGGGAGTAGGAAGGGAGGAGAGGGAAGGGAGGAGGGGGCAGGGAAGGGAGGAGAAGGGGAGGGGAGAGGGGGAGGGGGGAGAGGAAGGGAGGAGAGAGGAGGGAAGGGGAATAGGGGAGAGGAGAGGGAAAGGGCGGGGGAGGAAAGGGAGTAGAGGGGAAGGAGGGGGCAGGAAGAGGGGAGTAGGAGGGAGGAAGGGAGGGGGAGTAGAGGGAAAGAGGGAAGGGAGAAAGAGGGAGGATGGGGCAGGGAAGGGGGGAGAGGGAAAAGGGGGAAAGGGGAGAGCGGGAGGGGCAGGGAAGGGAGGAGAAGAGGTAAGGGAAGGGTAGGGAAGGGAGAGAGAGGTAGGGAAGGGGAGAGTAGGAAGGGAGGAGAGGGGGTAGGGAAGGGAGGAGAGGAAGGAGAAGAAGGAAATGGGGAAGGGGTAGGGAAGGGGGAGAGGGGGAAGGCGGGGGGAGAGGAAGGAGGAGAGAGGTAGGGAAGGGAGGAAAGGGAAAGGGGGAAGGGAGGAGGAGAGGGGAAGGAGGGGGCAGGGAAGGGAGGAGAGGGTAGGGAAGGGGGAGTAGGAAGGGAGTAGAGGGGGAGGGGGAGAGGAAGGGAGGAGAGGGAAAGGGGTAAGGGGAGGGGAAGGGGAAGGGGGAGGAGAGGGGTAGGGAGGTAAGAGGGAGTAGAAGAAGGAGAATAAAGAATAAGTGGAGCAGGAGGGGGTGAAGAGGGGCAGGGGGGAGGAGTGGGGAGTAGGAGAAGAGTCTGGGGAGTAAAGGGAAAGGAGGGAGGGGGATAGCCAGAGGAGAGGAAGCAGGGAAGGAGGGAGTGGGAGGAGAAGGCAGGGGGTGGGAGGATATGTAGGGAAAGAGAGAGCGGGAGAGGAGTGGGAGGAGGAGAGGGCAACATAGGAGGGAGGAGGAGGAAAAGGAGAAGGGATAGAACAAGGAAATAGGGAGAGAGAGAGAGATAGAAGAAGGAGGAAGGAGGAACGGAGAAAGGAGAGCAAACGAAGAGGGAAAAGAGAGAAGGAGAAGAAGAGAGAAGAAGGAATGAGGAAGGGAAGGGATAAGAAAGAAAAGATTAAGAAAGGGAGATAGACGAAGAAAGAAGAGAAGCAAGGAACAGGAGCAAGCTGAATGAAAGAGGAGAGAAGGAATAGGGAAGTAAAAAGGAGGATCGAGGGAACCAGGGGATAGGGGGGAGGAGAGGAGGAGAGGGGGGTAGAGGAGAGACGAAGATGGATAGGGGGAGAGGGGAGGAGGGGGGGAAGAAGGGGAGAGAGAGAGCTTATGCAAATAGGGGAAATGAAGAGCCAAGGAACTACCACACGCCGAGGAGGGGGAACTATGATAGAAAAAAGAGGCTTGACAGCGGTGTCTCGAAGTGTCCTGCGGTGTCTTCGGTGTTCTGTGTTGTTATGGTGTCCTTTTGGTGTCCTGTGATGTGGTATTGATGTCCTATTTGGTGTCCTGTGATGTGATATGGTGTCCTTTTTGGCGTCCTGTGATGTGTTATGTGTCCCTTATGGTGTCCTGTGTTGTGATATGGTGTCTCTTTAGTGTCTGTGATGTGCTATGTGTCCTTTTGGTGCTGTATATGTATTTGGTGTCCC